GATACTGGCTATAGAAATCGGGAAAATCGGGATGCTTGAGATTTGGGGAAAAAAATCGGGATATCCCGATGAGTGGCAGGTCTGCCTCTATAGTTGTTACAATTGCTGAGGTCTCCTTTCTTTGGCAGCTTGATTAGGTGGCCTTCCTTCCAGTTTGATGGTATTTCCTCCTCTTGCCAAACCTTTTCGAATAATACTGAGCATGGAGAATTTCCACTGATGTATCTTTATCTGCCTTAAGGGCTTCCGGGGGTATATGGACAGGACCAGCTGCCTTGTGGGACTTCAGTGCTGTTATAGCTGCAGCAATTTCCTCTCTCGAAGGTGGTTCCGTAGCGATTGGGAGGTCATTTCTGGCAGGAAGAATTTCTGGTTGGTTTTCTGGAGGTGGTCTATTCAACTTCAAGAGTTGATCAAAGTGTTCTCTCCATCGGTTCAGTTGCCCCTCCGGGTTGAAGATAGTCTTTCCCTCTTTGTCTTTCATTGGTAGAGTGGGCTTGCTGAACCTACCTGAAAGAGTCTTTGTTGTCTGTGGCTGCATTCTCTGCCTTTTCGGCCTGGCCATTCAGGTAGGTATTCTTGTCCTTCTTGATGGAATTCTTTACCTCCCGGTTTACTTCGGTGTACTCTTGTTGTGCAGCGAGTTTCTCAGTTTGGGTACGGCTGTTGTTGACTTGGGCCTTCAGCTCTCTTCTTCTTTTGATTTTGTCTAGAGAGTCTTGTGAAATCCCTTCATTCCTGGTGTTGACTTTGGGTCCTAGGATGCTGTGGCAGGTTGCATTTACTGCCTCTTTTATTTTGTCCCAGTGTTCGTTTACTTCACATTCATCCAGATCTTGAAGGGCTTGAAATCTGTTCTTCAGTTCCAACTTGAATTCATTCTTCTTTACTGGGTCTTTTAGAAGGCTCACTTAATACTTTTGGCACTTCCAGTTGTGATTTGTGCATACCTTCTCTGTTTCAGTTTAATCTTTCCAAGGATCAAATGGTGGTCTGATGCGACGTCTGCTCCTCGTAAAACTCGGACGTCTGAGAGAGAGAGAGAGAGAGAGAGAGAGAGAGAGAGAGAGAGAGAGAGAGAGGAGAGAGAAAGAGAGAGGAGAGGGAGAGAGAGAGTGTGTGTGTGTGTGCGTGTGAGAGGGACAGAGAGACAAAAAGCGAGAGATAGAAAGAGAGATAGATACAGAGAAAGAGAAGGGGGGGCGGGGGGCAGAGAGAGATAAAGAGAGAGACAGAAAGAGATACAGACAGACAGATAAAGAGAGAGAGAGAGAAAGAAAGAGAGAAAGAGACAGAGACAGACAGAGAGGCAGGGTGCTCAAGACCATGTCAAACAACCTATTGTGTTTAAAATATGTGAGTTGAATTTCAACTGACAATATCGAATTTGAACTCTCTATTCTGTCCCCGTGGTAATTTGCAAATTGCCCCCCAAAAAAGCCAAAATTTGCCCCCAAAATTGCAAAATTTGCCAAGAAATTTGCATTCAGAATCCATACAGACAATTGCTGCTTATCCCATGAAACAGACATACTAAAAAAGACTGGCGTTATTGGGGGTTATTTTGAAAATTCATACATACTTTTATGAAGAGAATATTAGAAAGCTATACTATATACATCATCTTTACACATGTATAGTTTATCAAGAAACATCACAATGGAATTGAAACTAAGGCTGGTGAACTGCTACATCATTCCAATCGTGTCCTATGCCGTGGAAACTTGGACAAAGTACAAAAATTTAGAACACGAGATTGAGGCTCTGGAAATGTGGATCTTTTGCAGACTAGGCAGAATCAGCTGGAAAGACAAAATCACAAATGAAGCTGTGATGCAAAAACTTTAAGTTAAAAGAGAAATACTACGGTACCAAAACTAAAACCAGTAAAACTAACATAGGCCCTACTTCGGGCACACCATGCGCCATGACTCACTACCAAGGACAATTCTCACCGGTCGGATGAAAAGAAAGAGAGCTAGAGGCAGACAACGGACGGAAGTCATAGACTGATGATGTAAAAACCGGGATGGGTAACAGCTTGGCAATGCATGCTTAGATCACAAGACTGAACTGGTAGGAGACTCAAGGAACGACAACCTCTGAAAGTCAGGGATGACACCTAGGCAAGGCAAAGCAAGTCATTCATTTGAAAAATAAATCTGAAAATGAAAATACAATCAAATTTACATCCAAGATTCATAAGCAATGAAGTTATTGCAATATAAGAAACCCTAATGCCTTTAAGTTTTATTCATTGAGGTGTCGTCTCCTCTCAGAAAAAACAAGATTGTAAATATCTATGGTTGCTACGGTTAATGCTGCAACAGTGTACCAGTGTGAACGGTAAAAAATAGTAGAACAAATAGGATTAGAATAGAGATCAAGACTGCCAATGAATTTCAGAACGAAGGGAAACAAAACCTAGGCCTGATGTGAAATTTGAGTTCAAGAACAGCTCAAAAGAAGGAAAATATTTCTGAAAACTACGTGTTTTGTAAAATTTGCGGTACTTTGCGGAGAGCTGCAAAATTCGCGGCCGCATTTGCCGAAAAACCGCGATGACAATCTATTGTTACAGTTGATAGCGCTTTTTTCATATTTGAGCTTCCTAGAGTTACATTTGCTCTCTCTATTTTGATGTTTGAACTTACAATGTTGAATTTGATTTGACTCCACTATGTTGAATAAATTTTGCTGTTTCATTTGAACGCTTTATTTTGATATTTGATCAGGAAAATGTGTAGTAAGTTTTGACGGCACTTGCAACACTAGTAGGTTATATAAGTGCCGCAGACTAGAGGTGTTACAAGACAGTAACAAACACAAAAAAAAGAATAGATAACGACAATAGAAGTTTGATAGGAAAGAAGGAGCAAACCACACCAGAGCACCTGCAAACCACCCTCATCAATCCAGTTTTGCAAGCATTTAGGCGATGCACTTTGCATTTACCCCCTTATTGCCTTGATACGTACCTGGTATGTCATAGAAATGCATTATTTTTAGCTTTGAGCCATACCACGAACATCGTAAAAGTTGGCAATATATTCTGTTTCTGGATATCTGTAAAATGTTACATGAACATCCTGCTAATCATTAGGCCCTAATTCTTCTATACGGAGATTTAGCCACAATCATGGTGTGGACTAATATATTTGGGAATAAAAAATGTGCGCATCAGTACCAAATTTGCTGGTATTAGTTTACTTCCAGTGCTAAGCTTGAACAGCTTTGACATCAAGACTGGAATGAGACAGGGATGTTTAGAATCACCTTTCCTCTTCATATTGGCAGACGATTGGCTGATGAAGGAAACCACCAGAGGACACAGAAATGGTATGCAGTGGACCCCATGGACACAGTTGGACAATCTGGATTTTGTGGACGACAAGGCGCTTCTGTCGCACACCCAGGAACAGATGCAAGCAAAGACTTCAGTATTAAACAGCCTATCAGAGTCTGTTGGATTGAGGATCCACCCTGGAAGTCAAAGGTCCTAAGGAAAGATGCACAACGGAAGGAGCAGGTCACAATAGAAGGAAATGCACTAGAAAACGTTGAATCCTTCTGCTACCTTGGGAGTATAATTGACAGAGAGGGAGGCACAGGTGCTGAAATAAAATTCCGCATTGGAAAAGCACTTGCTGCTTTCATATCATTGAAGAGGATTTGGAAGACCAGAGATATCTTATTTCAAACAAAACGGAGGATTTTCAATTCAAATGTGCAGCCAGTCCTGTTGTATGGATGTGAGACATGGAACGCATCAAAGACTTGCATAAAGAGGGTCCAGGTTTTCTTGACCAAGTGTCTACGAAAGTTACTGAGGATCAGATGGACAGACAGGGTCATCAGCGAGGAAGTGTAAAGGAAAACAAGAAAGATCCCAGTCAGAGATGAGGTAGGAAGAAGGTGGTGGCGATGGATTGGACATACTCTCAGGAAGTCAGGCAGCGGCACAATAGAGAAAGCGTTGGATTGGAATCCACAGGGTAAAAGATCAAGGGGAAGGCCGCGAGGAACCTGGAGAAGAATCACAGAAATTGATGTACAGAAAAGTGGGAAGACATGGAATAACATCAAGAGGCTAGCCCAGCATAGAGAAAGGTGGAAAGTGTTTGTCCGTGGCCTATACCTTGGTGCAGGGTGAGAAAGGCAATGATGCTAGGCTTGAAGGCAATCGATAAACACAGGTCTAGTCTTGCAGATGAATGTGTGCTCTTGCAAAAATGTAAACACCAAAATGACTTTAAAAAGGCAGCAAATTTCACTTTTTGACTGAGATTTGCAAGTTTTTAAAAGTAATGAGTGAGACAGGGAACATGGGAAAGTGAGGAAAAATACATTTGAAAACCCGGAGTCCAAAAATGTCATGGCTGGGCTAGATCTAGACCGTAAGCCCACTGACATCGAGGAAACCTCAGATTGCTGACCTTGCTAACGCACTTCGTAGAAAATCATCGCTGACAGTAGGAATGCACACCACTTGGCAATGAAAGGGTTATAGCCTACAGCAGTTCACAGACAAAAGGACATAAGTGTCACAAGGACACTGTGGAATCCGGTGCTCGTCAGTTTTTGGGCATGTAGAGTTATTGGTATCATCTGAAAGCTTATTCATTTGTCCTGCTTTTGAAGTAAAAAAACCCCCCCATCTATTTTGAATGGAAGTCAAGATATTTGCGATTGAAGGAGGTATAGGTCACCTGGTTTTCAGTGGTAAAATTAGTGAGAAAATGGCTGCCAAAGTTTGGAAACTTCACTTCAATAGCTTGAGGGTCCATGGAAACTGAAAATTTGCATATTTTGAGCCTTTAAGAAACGTATTTGTGTAAAATTCACAAAGAAATGTGTTTTTATATGGACAAAAAAGGTGCTGAGCTGAAAAACAAATTTGAAAAAAATTGTCAAACTGGCAGAAAAATGCTTGTTTCTTCTATTTCATCATTTTGACGAACGCCTGATTTCACCACAATGCCTCACATATTGCATGTTACCTGTACTCTTGTGGCATGTTCATCCTCATCAGCAGCACACAGGAGACGAAGTACATTCCCTGACCAGGCAGATGGGGAAAGAAGATATGAATAAACTGAACGTTTTACACGCCTCTACACTGAGGGAGGGAGGGAGGGAGGGAGAGAGAGAGAGAGAGAGGGAGAGAAAGAGAGAGAGAGAGGGGAAGGAGAGGGAATGGGAAGGAGGAAAGGAAAGGGGAAGAGAGAGAGAGAGGGAGGAAAGGAAAGGGGAAGAGAGAGGCAGAAGGAGGGAGAGAAGGAGAAGGGGAGAGAGAGAGAGAGAGAGAGAGAGAGAGACAGAGACAGAGAGCACATAGCACTTACCAACCAAGTGTGAGAGAAGGGAGAACGAAAAAAGAACAGTAAGAGAAAAGACATCCAGGTCCAAGTGATAGCCATTCATTAGGCAGACACCCACACCACAAAAAACTTGGTACAAATCAAACACTTACTTTACTTTACTTTTCCGATCCAGCGGCCATTTGGGTTCTAGCCCTTCGGTCTGTCAATATGGCAAAGAATTTACATGTTTTAATCAGCTGTGCTTTGTCGCTGTACAGAGTATTTCCGATGTCTGGGGAGGCAGGTAGGTAGGTGCTACGCAGGTCGTTAAGTGCAGGGCAGTTAAAGAGGTGGTGTGGTACTATTTCATCCTGGCAGTCGCACAACGGGCAGTCGGGTGGGGTATCCTTGCGGATCCTATTAAGGTAGGAATTTAGTGGGATGTGTTGTGTTCGCAGGCGAAATATTGTGACTTGTTCTCTTCTTCTCAGGGAATTTATTGCATCTTTTGAGTTGGGGGCTGTCATGTGTGCAAATACAATTCTTCCAGTTTTGCCCATTGCCCATCCATTCAGCCACCGTTCCCTGGTGTTGCATTTGATGATGTTCTTGGCTGTCTGTTGTGATACTGGGTTGTGTGGTTGTGTCTGTGATGCTCCCTTCTTGGCAAGGGTGTCTGCTCTGTCGTTTCCTGGGATGTTGCTGTGGCCAGGTATCCACTGTAGTGTCAGGTCGACGGCATAGGTCTGTATGAAGGTGTTGATTGTTTGAGCCATGGACAGGCAGGCTGGGCTTTCGAAGTTCATGTTTTCCAAAGCTTGGAGTACTGACTTTCTGTCTGTGAAGATAATATTGTCCTTGATCTTTTTTGGATGTATTATGAAAATGTTGGTCAGGTGGAGGATTGCTGCTTCAATGGTGATGGTCTCAGCCTCGCAATTTGTAGAAGAAGAATCACAAGCATCAAATAACTCTTCACATGTTTTGTCAGGATGTTCAATTCTAACCCCAAAACCTGCGTTCATAGTTCTCTTGAAGGCTGACCCGTCTGTGTAAATATGAATTGAGTCACTAGGGTAGGAGTCAATTGCCTTCAGAGCTGTTGTCTTCAGTTCTACAGGGTCACATTCCTTTTTCACTGTCTCTTTAATGAGGGAAGTTTTGAGGTTGGCCTTCTTGATGTCGGTGTTTGGGGGGAGTTCTGGTCTTAAGGGTTTCAGCATTTCTCTGTTACACGGAAGATGGTGTTTTTCTACTAGTTCAGTGGCTATGTCAAGTATTGATCTTCCATGAATCCGTTTCTTTGGTACAAATCAAACACAAAAACTGATTTAACATTGGTAATTTTCTTACCAGAAAATCAAGGCCATGAGCATGTGTGTGTGTGTGTGTGTGTGTGTGTGTGTAAGTGAGTGTGTGTGCGTGCAAGTGAGTGTGTGTGCGTGCGTGCGAATTTGTGTGTGTGTGTGCAGGTATGAGAGAGATTTACCATGTATTTACCATGCCCCAGCAAATTTCTTTTTTGTGGAGATCAATAATATGCTGTCTTATATTATTTTATCCGATCGTATAAAGAATGCCCAGAGTCTGTGGTGGAGTGGTTAGGCCCTTTGCTGTCTCAGGCAGGAGACCCGTGTTTGATTCTCAGGTGGGGGGGAATGTTTACCGAGTGTCTCTGTCTTTCTGCTTAAGCGTTCTATGCCTCTCAGTCCAGGTTGGCCCTGACAGGCAGGATCAGAAGCCCACCTCCTAAATGATTGATCTACATTGTGTCGACTGGGGTGTAAAAACATCTACATTAACTCTTATCAACCAGAAATGATTTCATGGATTTGAATCGGTGCTGTCATTCAGAATTCGCTTTATTTCTTATATCACGACCAATTATGGATTTTGATCCATCTTGTTCACCATACCAAAAGATTAACAATCGTCAACATGAAGGAAGCATGGAAAGTGAGATTGAATGCAGAAAAAGCAGGTGTATTGTAGACATAGCTGCCACTCAAGAATTTCAAAAAAGGAGGAAATTCATGCGAAGGCGAACGCGCGCTCTCCGAAGGCCGGAGTAAAACCAGTGAGATCCAGAGGCAATATATACTGGAAAATCTAGCTTATGGTTTTGGAAGGGAAAACTGTCATATATGTTAATCATAGGCAACTGAATTAAAATGTATTTGAAAAAAAACAACAACAACAAAAAAACAAAAACAAAAACAACAACAAAGGCATTAAGTAGACCAACAAGCATTTGAGTTTGAGTCAATTTGACACAGTTTGGAATTGGTGACTAAAAATCCAGTGTTTGTTGCAAGCTGGTGTCTTATAAAAAGATTTCTTTCACTTTAAACTTGTACATCGACGTAGAGCGCGCGCAGTATTGGATCAACGAGGCAACACCTTTGCCGCTGTACTGAGCACTCCTGTACAATTGCGGTCCTGTTTGCACTTAACTTAGTAGTCCCTCTGTAGTGTGTAGTTCTAACCTGAATTAAAATTACAGCCTACGCTATCTAATCTAGATCTAGAATCTAGATATCTAAATATGTGTAAATCTAGATTATATCTAGAGATAGACTATCTAGATCTAGATTCATTTCAACAGCCACAATAGCCGTCATGTAAACAAACGGGACCGCAATTGTACAGGATTGCCACGGGCCGCGATTTCTTTATCGCACCAAACGCAAAGTGCAGCAAGCGGAGCTCCTTTTATTTTTGCATTCTGCATCAATTTCTCTCGAATTTCCGCCGTTTTCAATGACAACTCGGCGCGCTAACGTCCCGATGCCCGATCGACACTTTGTTGCTCCACAACAAACAAAGTGAAACCAGCGCTAGGCCTAGAAGAACGGAAGTAGAAAACTACGGGCGGACATGCGCAAGCTGCGTTTTCGTCTCTCTCCCGGTTCGGTGTTTTCCGCGGGTAAAAAAGTATTGTAGTATAGCAAATTGCGACCAAGAGCGGTCCAGCGGAGGAAGGAGCAAAGTAGCGGGAAAAGCTAGATGAAGCAGAGTTTCCGCTATTTAGCGGGAAAGTGGCAGCTATGTGTAGAGGGATTTCAGTAACAATTCTGAGTGGGAAAACGACTCTTGACTCTAGATCTAAAACTGTCGGCCATACAAAGCGCTATCGCTAAAAAAATACGCCTTCAAGTTGCGAAATCACACAAAAAAAGGAAGAGTCATCGTGTCTATTTTTAACTTGACCAGTATTATAAACATGGATTTGGAGGACGGGATGGAAAAATGTATTAAATTGAAGGAGACGAAAACAACACGCTCTGTGTCGTTCTGGCGCCTGGGGGGTAAACAGAAACGACACGGAGCGTGTTGTTCTGGCCGATAAAGAACGACAGAAAAAGATCCTACCATGATCTGAGCCAGGCACAGGACAATGACGTTGGAGGACTTGCTGCTGGCAATAGCGTAGAAGAACTGCAGGGGATCAGAAAGAATCAATTGGTGAAAATGGTGAAATGGTATAGGTTTAATGCCCCTATCGACACTACAGTCCAGCAGAGCTGCCAACCTTAAGCCAAAAAAGCATATCTGTAAGCTTTTTCAGCGATCGCAAGATTTTCCACCACTTTGCCAAAATGTACAACTTTTTGCTCGATCCGATTGATTGTCGAAACAAAATCTTGTTCCGTTTGCCACCCTGATTCGCGACCGCCAGCGGTCCAATCTATTATTAATAGGCCCCTATGACAGCCAATGTACCGTTGGATGAAGACACTCACAACATCACAGTGACTTCCCTTGATTGATTTTGACCTAATTTCATTTGTTTAGGCCTACTTCCATCGAGTTCGTGTTGCGAGTTGGCTTTTCTTTTAATTTTTGTGAGAGTTTTAATTGCGTGTGTGTCGAAATAGTGATATTTGTCATATTGTACACTTTTTTTCCCAATCTTACACTTTTTCAGCTAAAATCTTACACTTTTGTGGCCGGTGGGGTTGGCAGCTCTGGTCCAGTCCATTTATAACAGCCTCTGTTAGTACAGGAACTTGCATTATACAGCAGTGATAAATCAAATCTCCTGGGTTTTTTCTCTATAAGCGTAAGTAATATGAACCTGGCTATAACAGGGTTCAATTTGAGCAGACTCGGATATACCAGTGATCTTGCAGAGCATGAACTTGCTTTCGATCCGACAAATTATTACAATTTGTCTCAACCAAGACATTTTGCCTGTGTGTATGATTGCTTGCCTAAACACACACTTTCAACCACACACCCCCACATAGATCGATTTCGCCTCAGTGTAAGCAAAATAGCCCACTGGAAAAGGATCTGCAGTAATCGAATATATCGCTGGCTGGGTGCAACACTGCGACGAGCGCCAAAATCCCGAAAATCGTTTTTTCCCGTTAGTATTGATACCAAAATAGTGGCGCACATAGTGTCAAAATATCAAATTCCTACAATGAATTGAGCCGAAGTTGCAATTGAGCGACAAGGTGTATTCCATAAATATATTGAACCAATACTGCCACAAGGGCACTTGATGCTATGTTGCCCCGAGAATTTTGCTTTGGTTTGTCCATGAAGACTGAACAAGAACACATGTCGCTTTGTTGCCCCGAGATTATTGCTTTCTCTGGTCTGTAATTTGCATTTATACACCTATCGCAATTTCGCACTGCCCAAGTTTAGTTTGTTTTGGCCACACCACTAACAAAACGGTAATTGGTTAGACTCTTTTGTCTCAACTCGTGATTCTGCGGGTTACTGAGCATTGTCAATGGTCATAATACAGTAGTCTCCGCCTAAACGCACGGTGCTCGGGAGGGCTCCTTAGCATGTGTTTATACGGAGCGTGCGTTTACATGAACCTTAGCAAAGGGAGGAAGGGACGCAGTCATCTCATATTGCCTTGATATTCAAGTGACCTTCCTTTGGGGTGGGGGTCACTTTGGGCCGATAATGTGACGACACATGACTGTTTTGTGAAAGATTTCCCGACAGCGGTTAAGACTACAAAGGCATTGAATGGGTGTGTATGTGTGGGGAGGGGGGGTGGCAGAAAGACAGACTCGATGTAATGAATGCATCATAAAATGTCGGGAACAGATAGCCTAAAAAAGGAAATTGTTGATGATAGTTATACCTCATAGAGACGACGGCGGCCAGCCACGTGGCTTTCTAAGCGACCACCCCCGACCGTAAATTCATGAACAAACATTCACGCGTGTTCCGCATCATAGGCCTAGGTCTAACTAAACATTACATGCAGTCAAACACCAGTCAGAAACCTTCTCCCAAAGAGATGCTTGTCCAGTGATCAATCAAATAACGTTTCAGCCCCCCAACCCCACAACATTTCACCGACCAGTCCTGGACCTATGTGTCTGTGGAAAGTTGGGTGTGAAAACGCAGTCCATCACTCTCTTTCTAAGCTTGTCCTATACAAGCTATGCAGATTGTAGTTTGTGGTGAAAAGTTCCCTTAGTCAAGGGAAGCTGTTGGCGTGTTTCGCAGATTGGAGCGTACGTTTACAGGGAGTGACCGTGCGTTTGCACGTCTAAATTATATAATAAAAAAACCGTCAGATGACGAAAGCGTGCGTTTGAGCAGAGCGTGCTTTTGTATGGCGTGCGTTTAGGCGGACACTACTGTACCCCCCCCCTCCCCCACAGAATATGGTGTTGCAGCATAGTGTATTGTTGAAAGGCATAAATTCTCTGTTTCTTTGCATCATATTCCTATACGCATTTCAAATGCAAGCTGTTGTTTATGTCAGATAACTTTCAGCAAGCATTCTTATAATACATAAATTGTACAGAAGATCAGTACTTGATTATAAGTTTCTCATTTTGATGTTGTAGTTGTTGTTTTGTAATGAATACATTCAGTGCAAAGGAGATCACAATGTACGTGGCCAAGAAATTGTGGCTGGGCAAAAAGCAGGCGATGGACATCATGGAGGAGAAGAGCCAAGGAGAGAAAGTAGGCAGGCAACAATTGAGCAGGTTGAAGGAGATAGAAGGAAGAAACAGGATAGTGTAGGGGACGAGGAAGAATATGCCATGAGGTGAAAAGCAGACCGACGAAGAGGTACAAGATGGTGACGGAACAGGAGAGGAACAAACCCAAGTGAGGGGCAGAACACGAAAAAGAGATTAGGGTAACTGAGAAATTCTGGACAGGCCTACATCTCAGTAAGGGGCATATTGATCTCAGGCAGAACTATGAAACCCAGCTGTCCCCCTTCATGCCAACTGAATTGCTCAAAAAATATCAGCGAGGATGAAAGTATGACCATGATTGAAGAATTTTGGAACTTGGCTGACAAAAGAGAGCTGCAACATTTCTTACTCAGACATGTTGAGGAACGACCAGTAAGTAGTAAACCTATTGGCGCCTCGGGAAAAGAGTCAAGGGTGCAAGTGTGCAGGACTTTTTCTGGAATACGTTGGATATTAGGTGTGATCAGATTTATATAGGACGTTTAAACGAGTTACAGCAACTGGTGCCCTCAAACCACAGAATCAGGGAAAGCACGGCCAGTACTGGAAGATAGACGAAAACTTGGTCCAAGGAGAAAGAGATCACAATTCCTCATTTCAGGTTGTGGACTCACACTACAGTCGAGATGACTCCGTGAAAAAATACTTGGACCCGTCTTTGTCGGTGGCGGCCATGTACCGACTCTTCTGCGAGAGATGCGGAGAGGAAAAGGTCAGTGAGGACAAATATCGAAGAGTCTTCGACTATGACTTCAACCTTGGCTTTCATAGGCCCAAGAAAGACCAATGTGAAGTTTGTATCGCGCACAAAAACAACAAGGACATTGCAGAGATCTGTACCAAGAGATCTGTTGCCAATGCACTGTTACTGAGAAATCAATATTTTTGAGTGCTAGATCTAGGTCTAGATCTAAATAGTCAAAACATTTTTTTCTCCCCAAAATCACTACTTTTTGATGAAATTACACAAAAAGTGCCACTCAAGACATGTATAGGTTTATTCCAAATGCAATTCTGAATAATTCCATATAAGATACGAGAAGGTTATTTTCTGTTTGTGATCGTTTTTCAAGATTATAAAAATTTCTTTTTTTTTTCAATATCGGATGTTATGTTCAAAATGTACAAATATTATGGAATGTAGGTAAATAACTGCAAACTTTTCAATATTTTCCAGTTTTATATTCATTTATGGTTATTTTGATGTATCATTTGACTAGGTGCAAACATATTTTTTGAGTTTCACCAAAGATTATAGATTTTTAATTTTCAAATTTTATCCGCATCCAATCAAAATTGTGTTGCATGATCGTCTCTTACAGGAACAAAAGTTGAAAAATACATAAATAAACATTACAGATGTATTCTACAAACCATACTGAAAATATTGGTATATAATACGTTGATATTTATTTGAATTTGTGGCCCCAAAGACCTTTTAACTGCCCACTAGTCATCATCTCTTTCGCTCTCCCGAAAAAAATTCTTCCACAAGCCGAAAATAATATGTAGCGAATGAGTTAATCTTCTTATCCCAATCTGCAAACAGTGTTTAAAAGGATCTGCTATTCCAGGACAGTAGTGTCACAGAGAGAGGAGAGAGAGAGGAGAGAAGAGAGAGAGAGGAGAGAAGAGAGAGAGAGGAGAGAAGAGAGAGGAGAGAGGAGAGAGAGAGAGAGAGAGAGAGAGAGAGAGAGAGAGAGAGAGAGAGAGAGAGAGAGAGAGAGAGAGAGAGAGAGAGAGAGAGAGAGAGAGAGAGAGCTTACTCTGGTAAGTGTGATGAGGAAGCCTCGGATGGAGGTCACAATGATAACTCCGACCAGGAAGAAGGAAATCTGCTGAGACCAGAACTTGATCTGTGGAAGGAAGACAAGACAAACTTGAAACCAGGCTCAGCTTAGTTTTAGTAAGAGTTTTACTGTACTCACAACACAAAAAGGTCATATATAAGTGTCGAAGATTAGAGGTGTTACAAGAGAGTAATAAACACAAAAAAAGGAAGAGGGGAGACAAAGATGATAGGTGTTTGATAATAAGAGAGAAGGAGCAAACCACACCAGAGCACCTACCAATGTTCTGCTGGGTGGTTGGATAGTAAATACATTTGTTACCCCCCATGAAGTGAAGTATCTTAAAAAACTGCAACAAAATTCCCTTAAGAAAAATATACTATACTCATGAAGAAAACGGAGAAACAAAACGCTTCCTGATGGTGAACATTTCACTCCCCCCGCGGCAGTGCAACTTACTGAAGTGTCTTTACGCCAATCTCAAAGGGGGGACATTAACCATGTTCTTATGCACAGTAGAATTGTAATTGTAATTGGGCTGATTCCTCAATGTCATGCTCCTAACTGTGCCTGAACTGCAACAGGGAACTTTTTTCCCCTAATCCTTACTATCGTCGTTTTTCCTCTGCTTTTTTTGTATGTTTGTCACACTCTTGCGACCCGCTATTTCTGGGGTGCCTTGATAGTCGAAGCAGACTTCGTTCTGTTGAAGCTAGAGAGGTGAGCAGAGTAAGCCTGATTCCCTGTGAGGATATCTCCGTTGACATCAACCCCTTGCCGCTCATATGACCTTATACAGTTGCGAGCGCCGTAAAACCTCTACTCAAACTAAAAAAAGGCGAATATTTTGTTAGGAAAACAATATCAACTCACTGAGCTAGTCTCTGGTGTTGGGGGGGGGGGGGGGGGGGGGGGGACACAGCTCAACAGCCTTGAGGCAATGTGCTTGCCTCTCGTGTTATGTTAGCTAACTCTTTAACCCTGAAATTATTTTCCACGTTTTGACTGAATTTTTTCCAGATCTTGAGAAACACGAAACAGGGGATACATGAAAAATATTCATTTCATTAAATGGCTAAAACTGTGTCAGAGTGAAAGAGTAAGTAGTTTACACATTTATCTAAAACTTCTGAGTCAAAATAAATCTATTTGGATTCATAAAAGATTGCACTTGCAGTAATGCTTCATGCACCCTGCGATCTGACAGAACGCTAGGACAGTCCACTCAGGGACCAGGTGAGTTTCACTGGACCCTTCCATCGTCCACTCAGGGTAATAGAGTGAAGTACCTTATCTGAGGGTTCCCTGGTTATGCTTATAAGTATAAATGGCCAATGCACGTAGGTGTAAATGAGTAATCCTTTCACTCTTCTTTATGGAAACAAACCACACGCATGACAATCTGTTTCTCTTTCACTCTTTCAGAACACAATGGACTCCATAATTTTACGCACCCAATTTAAAAGCGGTGAAGGGTGTTACCTTAAAACGGCTATAATAATTCAGTCAAATAAGGATAGATTTGTTTGCGTGAGCACTCAAATTATTGGTAATTGAACAGAAAATCACAATGTGGGTGAAAATAGGTAATAAATGTAGAACAGGACCAGGTGTAAATCGGTACCCCAAAACGCCACTTATGTGGCAATCCCTTGAAACGAAGAAGCAAAAGCGTCACTTAAGTGGCGATCCGGAATCAAAGTGCTAAACTGAAGAACCAGATGCCAACTACAACCCAGATCTAAAGGAGGTAGCAGAAGAAGACAAGCAAGATCTCTTGTTTGTACGACTTAAAAGAAATACACCGACACATTAACAGTAATTTAGCACAAGAGAAAGACAGACGGAAGAAAGAACACAAAAACGCTTAGAGGTGTTTCGCCATTACACACAAAAGACGCGAGTCCGAATCCTGAGTGAGGAAAATCTTGATCAAGTTTCTTGCTCTTTATGCTGGGAAGTTGTATCCCTTCTCAGCCCAAATTGGCCGAGAGGCACGGTTGAAGCTGCCTCCGACATGACATAAATTGTGTTGATGTGGGCTTAAAAACACCTACTTGTGAAATAAACAAAACATTTTTAAAAAAAGTAAACAACACAACAAGAAAAATATTCCGCTCACATCAAACTCAAAGCCAAAGTACTTGACCGCAAATTCAATTCCTCTGGTCACAGGGTCTACTTTTCCAACACGATCAAAGATGATATTGATGGTTGCCTGAGAGAAGAGAGATGAAACATTGCCTTGCGCATATTGTCTAATTGAAAAAAACAACAACCCAAAAAGCCTCAAAACAACCAACACCGTAAAAATAAAAAAAAAATGAAATGAAAATATAATATATGCATTTATGTAGGCCTTATCCTTGTTCTACAGCATGATCTAATGTATTTTGCAACCATACAAATGACATAATTATGATCAGGAAAGAGACTAAAATCTGTACTGAACAGTGTTGCACAGACTAATTTGAGATAAAAACAGTTTTGAATGCATTGAAACAAAAAACAGGGCCTATTTTGTATGTCAACATATTGCTACTTTAAGAATAAAGAATAATACAAGGCCCATTGAGCATTTTTTTTTTAGAAAATGGAAATGGACAGCGTAGATGCTATTCAATGTTATTAAAACGTTCTCTGTGTGTGAGGTGAGGCAGAGTTGTGGCTGAAGCCTTAAAAACTGATTTGCTAAGTTAAAACAACAGACCGTGCAAATTTTAAAATATGTAAACAAAACATACAGTACAAGCAGTCGATCCGTATAACCTATACGTAGCGTGTTAGAAATGCAAAGCTGACTCACCATGACAATTTTCCAAACACAATAGATGGAGAAAAAATGCCCAAGAAAGTTGAAGTAACGACCCTTGAATGTCTTTGAGTACTCAATACGATCCTGAAAAGAGAAGAAATATAGAATCCACCTTTAAAATATATCTATTTGGTGTTTAAGGCACACTGTTACCTCAGTTGGTACCATGCTGGATCACACTCACACATAGCAGAAGACTAGTTCAAACCTCCATAAAAAGAAGTTCTAAAGTTGGGTCATTTTGGGGATTTTTTAAAGCTTTCAACCCATTTTTGGCTTGGTCAAACCAAAGATGGGTGTCAAACTTGGAGGTTCCACCTCTTAAGGGGAGACGTACACTCCCGGGAACATTTTCAAAACTAATGACTTTTATTCAAGTTCATGTAATTGTGCAAGAAGTTCATAGGTAAATAGGATGTAGGCCCACTAAGGGTGAATTTGTTGAATTTTCTTTGAAAAATGGGTCTCTGTGGCGGCCATCTTGGATTTTCAAACCAGTTTCTTAGTGCAGAAGAATTTCATAGTAAATATTGAATTATCAGCCTGAAATTTGGCACACAAGTACAAACTTTTATGAACTGGGGATCCATGTACGGATTTTGACCTATCTTTAAAACTAAAAAAGTGAGCCCAAAGTCATTGGACCCCCTAGAGTCAGTTGACGAAATTTTGGGAGGTTGACTGGTTTTGATTTAATGACCCATTTAGTGACCTTTTTGCCATTTTTAGATTTAGTACCAGTGGTGGGTTTACCCCCCCCCCCCCCCCCGGCCCTCATGAAGAAAAAGAGTTAAAGGAACAAAAGATGTAAATTTACAGTTTCCAAGGACTCTCAAGCTTTGGAAGTCATCAAACTTTGGAGGCTATTTGTATCACGACGCAGTGGAATCAGGCGCTCGTCAATTTTTGGCCATGTGGAGTTATTGGTGTCACCTTAAAGGTAGTTCATTTGCCTTGCTTTTGATTACAAAAATATCCAATTGTCTCGAATAGAAGTCAAGATATTTTTTATTGAATGAGGAGGGGTAGCCTGGTTTCAGAAATAAAATTGTCGAGAAAATGGGCGCCAAAGTTTGGTGACTTCTATAGCTTAAGAATCCTTGGAAACTGCAAATTTCCTTTTTTTGTGCCTTTAATCAACATTTTTCCATAAAACCCACCTATAAAAAAGTTTTTGAATGGACATACAAGGTGACGAGCCAAAAAACAAAAATTTGAAAACATTTTCCAAACGGGTAGAAAAATGGCAATTTCTCGGATTTCTTTATTTTGACGAGCGTCTGATTTCACCACGCTGCCTCACATTTTGTCTCTCATTTTACCATTGAAACCAGCTGACTCCCACCTCCTGCAATCCAAAGTATCTCAACTTCAATTGAAGAAAGATGGATAATTTTTTCATCGAAAGCAAGACAAATGGACAAGCTTTAAGATGATGAGAATAACTCCATATGCCCAAAATTGGCAAAAGCCTGATTCCACTGCGTCGTGACACACATACATTGAAGGAAATGATGATCTCTCATGTGCACTATAGAGAACATACAAACTATTTAATACAGGTGGAAATAATTCTTACTTCTCTAGCATTTATAAAACTTCCAGCAGAAAAAAAAGGACATCCGCAAAATGTTTCCAGACAGTAGATAAAAAAAGTATGTTTTCACAGGACTTCCAGACAGTAGGAAAAACAGTAGTTTTTACCAGATTTCCAGACAGTAAACAAAACAGTTTACTTACCCTAGCATCGTGAAGGTCGGCTGTTTCAAGAAATAACTGTCGACTTAATTCTTCTAAGGCTTTTGTTTCTTGCTTCAGTGGGCCTAGATCTGAACAATGTGGGTCATGGAAAGTGGGTCATCAGCCGTACACATAAAAACAAGGTCAGACAGAAACTCTTTGCTGGTCTAAGTTTATACAGTCACCATACTTTATTAATTTTATTTTTTGCTTTAGTAAGAGTTTTACGGAAATTGCAACACAATGTTAAAAGTCTTATAAGTGCCGACGATAAGAGGCGCTACAAGAGAGTAATAAATACACCAAAAAAGGAGGAAAGATAAGCACGACAGATGTTTGAAAGGAAAGAAGGAGCAAACTTCACCAGAGCACCTGCGAACAACTCACTCACCATACTTTGATTGAAGAGTCACGCATAAATGAATTCAAGATCAGTTAGTGCTGGGAAAAACCCAAGACATTTTTTTTTTGGTTTGAACTTATAGAAAAGCAAATCAACATGACAATGGTCATTCAACACTAGGGAAAAATCAGACAGACATACAGAAACAATAGTGGGAAAGAAAAGAAAATGGATCTACCAGTGGCGCCCTCCGGCCAACGCAAATAAACGAGACAGATAGATAGACAGACAGAGGGAAATGGGAGGCTAGAAAAGAAGTAGGAGCACAAAATGAATCCTTGCTCCCAAAATACAGATATATGAGGGTCATGAGGAGTCGGAACATATCTAGCAGCTGAGCATACACATGAAGTTATAAGTGAGTGCATGTGTCTTTTGTTGTTCAGCTTGCATTTCGGGCAGTTTTGCATAAATCTCTTGCTTCCAGATCTAAAGAGATTCGGGTAAAAGCGATAGATGGGGTGCTGCCATTTCAGAAATCCCTTGGGTTTGAGTTTCCTATTTTTGTTCTACTATAACCTGATGTGTTTTGGGGCTGGTCTTTGAGGTAAGAAACTGCTATTCTTTATGAATTGATGTTTTAGTTTTAGCAAGGTTTTACGGCGCTCGCAACAGCATAAGGTCATATGAGCGCCAAGAGGTGGATGTCAACAGAGAAGTCAAAACGGGGCATTGGGTTTACTCTGCTCACATCTCTAGCCTCAACAGCACAAAGTCTGCTTTCACTATCAAGACACCCCCATACAAAAGAAGTAGAGGAAAAATGACAATAGTAAGGAGGAGGAAAGAAAAAGCAGCAGTTCGTCTTATGTTGTTCCGGCACAGTATGAGCATGACATTGATAAATTAGCCCATTTACAATTCTACTGTGCATAAGAACATGTTAATATCCCCCCTTTGGGAATGGCCTAAAGACACTTCAAGTAAGTAGCACTGCCCTGGAGGGGGCACGATGAATTGACGACAGAATAAGATTTCAATTTCTTTCTCGGACGACCCAAAATGCATTTTGGCACGATGGTATTCGAACCTCGCAAAATTGCAAACTGATGGCCCCATAATATGACAATGGTCTGGGTTGTATCTAGACTTTTCTAGTGCTGAAAAAGATGACGGCGATGCTGACCCGAGTGAAGTAGAGGGGTAAGAGTTTGGTAAGGGCTAGAGGAACTTGAGCACAAGGGTGGCCATTTTTGGTGAGGAATGTAAAAGGGAAAAGGTGTAGCCAGAAAAGGTGTAAATAGAGCCGGAAAAGGTGTAGATAGAGCCGGAAAAGGTGTAGATAGAGCCGGAAAAGGTGTAGATAGAGCCAGAGAGGGTGTAAATAGAGTTGAGCAGCAAGGATACTCTCAGCACCAGAGCCCACGCCTGTGGCCGCACTCTTCAGGAGTCCCCAAATACCCTTGGATGGAGTACTGAGGCTGGCTCTGCGCAGACTATCCCTCTCCGATAAGGCTACCCTGGAGGGGGAAAAAGAAACGGTTTGATATATTTCACTCTATAGAAATGATCTTGGTATTATTATTACAGTAGAATCCTGTTACAGTAGAAAAAGGCTATAGCGGGACATTTTGTTCCAGAAGAAAAATCCCGCTGTAAGCAAGTTCCCGCTATAGGAATTCAAAGGGGAAAATACTGAAAAACTTCTAAAAATCCAAATGAATACCTCCCTTCTATATCAATAAAATTTGCCCTTTTGATTAGTCTTCCTTTTCTTATCAACTTTGTTGATTATCTCGGCTTTTAATTAGAGTGAGAATAATTCCCTTTTGTCATTGTTGGAAGCCATCATTTACTTGGTTTCGTTGCTTGTGCTGTCTATCGTACCGGAAGAGCAACTGTAGAACTGGTGAAGTGGATGCATGCGTATGCCTATGAGCGTCAATGATCGCAATTCAATGAATCAGGAATCACACACTACACGCTCTCCTCTTCTTTCACTTTTTGGCCTAGCATAGGCCTAGGGCTATGGCCTATACCCTCCTCTAACTAAGCTAGGGCACATCACTTTTGGAGTGGCTCACGTAATGCATCTCTCTGCCGCCTGCCCCACCTCACTCATCACTGGACTGGCCATTCACAATGCCACACTGCTGACTGCCTCTTTGGAGCCCGCCTAAAGCCCCCCAACCCCCTTCCCCCCAGCTAGAGCGCGCTAATTCTCTCCCGCTGTAACCGAGTTCGGGCTTTTCCTTGCCCCGCTAAACCCGAGCACAGATAATTGAGTTTACATAGAGAAAAAAAGAAGGGGATTTCGGTAAGGTCCCGCTGTAGCGGGTGCCGCTATAGTCGTGTTTTACAGTATAACGAGAGGGACGGGACTGGTGCGAAATGTCCGTTATAGCAGGATTCTCGTTATAAGGGATCCAGTAATGAATTCAAAGGAAATAATAAAGTACGCCTAATCTATGAGTTTAGTGTTCTGTTTATTTCTTTTTGTGAACTCCCCTGATGATGACTTTTTTTCAACATGACCTCTATGTCATACTTGATCAAAAATCGAATCAGGTTCCTTTCTCTAGCGCTAGCGATGTTGACAGCTCAGCATTGGCGATCAGAAAGAAAGGGCTCTAGGCTAATTCGCCCGCTGTGTTATCCCCCACCCCACCACACCCTGTGATGCGTTCTGTCTGCTTGCGCACGTCACACATTCACTCCATCCATCACAGCACTGTGACCTCTCCACCCCCGCATCAGAGAAGAGCATGGTAGGCCTAGATAATCTAGACTAGGCTGGCCTATCACGCGATGCCTTCTGCTTGTCTGCGTACACCACACCCTCCCCGCTCATTCGCCCCGGCCTTCATTTTTGACACACGTGGGCTCTCCCATTCTTTCATTCGCTAGATCACCAACAAGTTTCTCAACTAGCGAGGTCTTACATTATGTATAATTGACCTATGCACTGTGCACAGTAGAAGAAATATTCCGCTATAACCAACTCGCGTGTTTGTCTGATTGCGCTATAGCAGTATTTTATTTACAAAGATAAAGAAAAGAAAAATTCGTGGTTTTAGAATTGTGTCTTTATAACAGACTTCTTGTTATTTCACACAGGACTCATGATAAGTGGACTCCACTGTATTATCATTATTATCTTATTTGAGTAAAGAAAAGTACCCAATATTTTCAGTTGACGACCAGCGTGAGGCGTCTAGAGCCACACCGGAAGGGGGCACTATAGAAATGATCTTACTATTATTATTATTATTATCCTATTTAAGTAAAGTAAGGCACATGAAAATAATAATGGTTAATTAGCTCAGAGTAAAAGTAAGATAGACAGATTGAGATAGGAATTATAAAGGAAAAAAAAACACGAAGTAGGACTTAACAGTGGCATCCTCCAATCACACACATATGATCATCTACACATAAGAAGAAATGTATTTTAAAATTGTAAAATGCATTCATACTCAAAGACATTTAACTTGTTTTTTTTAGCTAAAGACCCGTTTAGTTCTATCAGTTCAAGTAAACAATATGAACTACTCTGAAAAAGAAAAAAAAAGAAATTATTAGATCAATCCCATGATTTTCCGCAGAACAACAGTCCTTACTACTACGCAGAACGTTTAGAAAAAGTTAAACACATTTTCACTTGCTGACGTGGCTACCAGACCCATACACGTGGGATTGTGGGTGCGGGGGTTCGAGACTTAGCTCGGTCTGACGTGGTGTCCTTAGGAAAGACACTTTACACATATTTTCTTTTTGGCTCTGTCCTTTCAGAGATGGACGTTAAACTCTGGAGGTGCCACCTCTTGAATAATCTAATAGTGCTGACAGGGGCGTTAACTCTGTAACCATGTCTGGACGGTGGCAGCATCCGGTAGTCAAGGTCCGTAACCATGGCTGGACGGTACCACCGTCCGAAGTAAAGTTTTTATTGTATTCTGGTACGGGCCAAATATTAAAAAATACGAGCTAACAAGCCTTTAGTTTGACCCGGAAGTCAAAGATAAATTAATTCTACGTCTGAGTAACGCTTCATTGATCAGTTTGACACGAAACAAGCGGTTTTAAAAACGTAATATGTCTGGTCACACTTCTACAAAAATAAGAGAATTACGTGGAAACATGATTTTAAATTGCATGGTTAAAGAGTTAAACCCATATCATTTCACACATTATTTTCACTCAGCAATACTATACTCTTGCATTTCGGGCAATTTTGTATTGATACTGAAAGCATGTAAAATTTCAATATCTACATTCCCCTACTTGGATGAATTGTACATAACAGCTCACACTAAAAAAATTAATTCCATCTTTTTAGACAACAAACATCCCTTGTTCCCTCAAATAAAAACATCAGTCAGAAGTAAAAGACCTAGGCTTCTGATCTGTAACCAAGAAAGATATAGAAGGTCATTTTTACCATCATCCATCAAAATTCTTCGATCTTAACCATCTTATTATAAGTATTCATATGACCTTAGAGCATGCATCAGCATAACATTGAGTATGTATCTAGCTTAAGATTATTATCATTTACAGTGGAACTCGGATTCAACGAGGTCGCCGGGCCTGACCAAAAATCTCGTTGAATCCGAGTGTTAGTTATAGCAGACACGACGTTTTGTGTAGATAATTACAGGCATTGAGTAATGTATAAAGAGAAGTCACAAGTAGTGCCTGAAATGCCTGCATAATGAGTTGTGTAAAAAAAAACCCGATTCGTTCAAATGCACACGACTGTGTCATCTCGATTGTTTACCAAAAAGTTGTGTTGCTGTGTAGAGCCTAGCACATGGCAACTTTTGATTCCATAGACCAGCGCACAAGATCTACGTCAAGACTAGCTTATCATTGTAATAATGATCAGTTGCTGTGGGGAAAAAATTACTGACGCATTTGTATATCTGCGACGTTCATAGCCCGGACCGCTAGTGCCCCCCCCCCCCCCCAACCCCCCGACACGCACACACAGCCACACGTGTGCAGGCCGCTCATCCGACCCCGACACACGTCAGACTGAGAGTAGACACGTGCACGTGCCAACAACGCATGAGTCGGTATGAAAAAAGACCAGTGATTGGTTGCACGCAATCGGTTAAGTGAATAATGGTTCACGATGCAGGTGCAATGGATGGTTTCTGGGAATAGATCAAGTTCGTTCTGGGAGAAGAAAAATGAGCGAAGCCACGTCTGCAGGGGCCGTTCACTATGGAAGCGACCTTGTTGAATCCGAGCTCGCTGATTTAAGTGCTCGTTGAATCTGGGTCATTTTTATTGATTTTAAAGAAGAAAAAAAAACAGGGAATCTATCTCACCTCGTAGAATCCGAGCTCGTTGAATCCGAGTTCCACTGTATATTGCTGTTCATTCATATTATGCATGTGACTGTAAGCCTGTGTGCGTGTGCATGTTTGTGTGTGTGTGTGTGTATGCGTGTGTGTGTGTGTGTGTGTGTGTGTGTGTATGTGTGTGTACGTGTTGAAACACCAAACCAATGTGCCAGGGTCTGGACAATAAAGATGTATCTTATCTTATCTCATCTTACAAGGTAAAAGTCTGTTTAGTGCCACAAGCTTGAGTAAAAATCATGACTTAACTTTCCTGCTGTAATATTACTAAACGCAGTAATTGTTCATGGCAGACAGTAGAAATTGACGATTAGTTAAACAATTCCGCTCTGGAAAAAATAAACAGTTCTAGCAACAAACCTCCGAATTTAACGTCCAACTCCAATAGATCCAAGCCAAGTGGGTAGACAGCCTAAAAAACTCACCAAAACAATCAAAGTTCAGAATGTCCCCATTAGGGATCCTAACCACAGCCACTTGCTTTTTAAAATTTTAGTACGAGTTCTACGGCACTTGCAACACAAAAGGTCATATAAGAGCCGAAGATAAGAGATATTACAAGAGAGTAACAAACACAAAAAGAAGGAGGGGAGATAAGGACAATAGAATAGATGTTGGATAGGAAAGAAGGAGCAAACCACACCAGAGCACCCGCCAACCAGCCATAGATCCATCCGCTCCAAAGTCCACCATGTTACCAATTGAGCTAACGGCACGGCCTCTTCAATAGCCCCCAACCAACTGTGCCCTTACTTTTTCTTCTTAGTGATGATGCGATCCACTGTCTGAAGCAAACGCCGTTCAATACTTTGGATGTCAGCACCAGTGACGTGCCTGGGAAAAACACATGAATTAAAAAAATAATGACCAACTGTATCATTGATGTGTTGTAAAGTTTGGGCTCAATATATATATATATATATATATAACAACATGATACTTTCTAAACATCTGGGAAATTTTTTTTTTACTGTTTCAAGCAATAGACACTTCCAGAAACAAGAATATAAATCTAAAAGTAGTAAGCCTTGAGCGGGAAATCAATTAAATTTATCTGATAAATATTAAAAATAAGATAATACAACAAAGTGACAATAAAATTGAAAATAACAATTCAGATGGAAAGGATGAAATATTTGATCTTTCTTTGAAACACTTCCCACAGGGTACAGCATAGAGAGGTGGAAAAAGTAGAGTCGAGGCAAAGCAGACATCAATCCTTTTGTAAAGTAAAAGTAACTGATCAAGAACATCACTTTAAAAGAAGAGAAAGTTACACGCGAATAAAGTACAAAAGTGAGGCATCGAGGTGAAATCAGGTGCTCATCAAAATAATGAAATCGAAGAAACCAGCATTTTCCCGCCAGTTTTGCAATTTTCATCGAATTTTTGTTTTTTAGGCTCATCACCTTTTATGTCCATTTCAAAACACATTTCTGAATGGATTTTACTTCAAGACGTTGATGAAAGGTACAAAAAATTTAAATTTTCAGTTTCCAAGGACTTTCAAGCTATGGAAGTCACCAAACTTTGGCGGCCAATTTCTCGCTAATTTTACCTATGAAACCAGGTGAACCCCATCTCTCTTTCAATTGCAAATATCTCGACTTCTATTCAAGTTAGATGCAAATTTTAAAAAAATCAAAAGCAAGACAAATGAACAAGATTTAAAAGTATATATCAATAACTCCACATGGCCAAAACTTGACGAGCGCCTGGTTCCACAAAGCCGTTTTGTTATGCACAAGGAGGAGCGATTAACTACGGAGGATGTTTGATGGGAAAGGAGGAGAGATTAACTACGGAGGATGTTTGATAGGAAAGGAGGAGCAAACCACACCAGAGCACACACCAACCACCTATGATTATACATTAAACATTAAAGTCTTCAACAGGGCACCATCATTGTAAAGGATCACACCAGACACAGCCATATAGAAGGGTTGTGGGTGGTTGGCGGGTACTCTGGTGTGGCTTGCTACTTCTTTCCTGTCAAACACATCTATTATCCTTATCTCTCCTCCTTCTTTTGTAACACCTCTAATCTTCGGCACATATACGACCTAACTGTGTTGCAAGTGACGTAAAACTCTAACTAAAGCAAAGAAGGGTTGTGATAACAGCGTTATATACACTTGAGCAAGGCAAAGAAGGGCTGAGATAACAACGTTATACTTGAGCAAGGCAGTGCACTAGGGGTGCTACCTACAGAGTGACGGTGATATGCTCTACCAATGCAATTTCTTTCTTGAACGTTTTTCAAAAAGCAAAACAAAATCCCTTCTCATTTAGAAGTTGGAGGAAAACAGAAAAGTTAGCATACAGTACTTTAATACTATTTATAGTAAATTCTCATTCCTCATCTTGTATTGAGGACCCGCAGATCAATCTCGGCAATGGCTTTAGAACATTAAAACAAACAGAAAGTTGATCCATTTCTTCCAGTTAAACTGACCATAAGGCCATTGATATAGCATAGTCTTCAGCTTCCGTCAGGTGTCAAGTCTGGAGCAGACATTGATGATCATGGCCATCCCACTCCTTCTTATTGTCAGTCAGCCAGATCAGCTCCACGTTTCTGACTGTTTTGTTTGCCATAAACTATAATATGTGTCCCAACACGGTGGAATAGGACGCTCATCAATTATGGGGCATATCGATTTGTTGGCATAACCCTAAAGCCTGTTCCTTTCCCTTGAAATTGATGGAAAGAAGTGCTCATTTATTTTGAATAGAAGAAAAGACATTTGTTATTGATGGAGGTGAGGGTTGCCTGGTAAGAAAATGGCCACCAAATTTTTATCAGTTTCAAAGCTCAGAAACTGCACACATTTACATTGTTTTGGGCCTTTAATCAACTGTTTTCAGTAAAAGCCACAAAGAAATCTTTTTTAAAATGGACATAAAGGGTGTAGAGTCCAAAAAACAAAAATCAATAAAAATTACTCAAAGGGTGGGAAATTATGTTTTCTCAAATTTCATTGTTTTGACATGCCAATGATTTCACCATAATGCCGCACATATATTTATATTGATGTACGTCATGAAATGTACAGATTGGCAACTGCCTAGTCTGCCCCTGTGATAAGAAGCCCTGCATTTAGTTCTTCAGATTCTAAATCATCAAATTTGCGAGGGGAAAAAAAAGACTAGGGAGGTTAAAAAAAACCCTCATAAAAACAACCTGTTAAAGTAGGACAAATAAGTGTAGGGACAGTTGACGGCACCAAACCCTGAGAGAATAGCCATCAGTGTGACACCGATGACTCCTACACGCCCAATGCACTGCTCGATGGAGAAGATCCCTGAGAAAAAAAAGAAAAAGCGCAGAAAGGATTTCTTTTTCACCACAGCTAAAAAAAAGTCTCGAAGAACGGCATTTACATACTGTAATAAAAAACCACAAACACCTGAACAAGATTATTTTCATTAGTAACTATCTTATTTCTCTATTGAGGATGTGCAAAAACACATACAGTCATCATCATCATAATCATCAAGTGCCAGATGTGCGAAAGAGATGGGCAATCATAGTTCACCATTCATTCCTTTGCTCGGAAGCCCTCAAAAGAGCTACATTACACCCTGATCTTTTCCCCAATACCTGTCTGTTTAGGTTCTCCAAGCAGGTTGCTCTAGGTTACCCCTGCCTTGACTGCCTTCAATTTTGCCAGTGAGAGCTAGATGTCAGGCCTTTATGTTTATTCAAGTGTCCCAGAAATTGCATTCGTCTTTTCTTAATTGTTTTTATTAGTAGTAAAAGGCCCACATTGGCTTGTTCGTACCAGTCACCACCATAGTTTTCAATAGAGAACATGCGCATTTGCAAATCTGCATGCAATCGACAAATCGAAACACATCAAACAAGAAATTAATCAAAACATCATCGCATCAATAGAATCACTAAAAACTAGTAGAAGAATGGACTAGTAGAAAGGTCTTAGTCTTCAGTTCACACTACATAAGGGGCTCGAAGTTGTGTCTAGAGAAAAGCTCTTTACACAAATTTTCCTCACTTCACCTAAGTGGGAATGTGTAATTGGCTATAGACAAAGGAAATTCCAGTCTTTATCAGCTGCCCTGTACACTTCCCTTGAGACCGAGAATGCCTCTGAATGTTCTAGGGTCTGCTGGCGTAATAAGCTCTGTAAAAGCTTTGTAAGCAGAGCTTGCTGTAGAGCATGGATATGCGCTGTAATAAATACAATTTCATTAAGTTCTACAAAAGTGGTATCCCCAACATTTTTAACAAGTAAATACCAAAAGTATTTTCAAAGCCTTCAAATAATCAAATCTGCCATAAGCTGACAAAACGCCTTTTATTATATTCACAGCAGTTTTGAGATAAAGAGGCTTTTTTTGCCAGGGTAACCATTTACAAAAGGCCTTCTTCTGAAATTTGAATTCTAATTTATTCAAAAACTAATGACAGTTTCCCTTTGATTCTTTCACACAAGCAGGGTAACTGATCAGGTTTCCGACTTCCGATTTAGCAAGTAAAAAATTTGGTGCTCAAAATGAAAGAAAAAAGAGTTTTGCCAGCTTACGGCTCTAATGACATACCGTGTTTGGGACTTAAGATGGGGAATGGGTCACCAACTCTCCAGAAAAGATATAAGGTGACGCACCAGGCTCCACCAGCAAAAAAAATTCGCACATGACGCTTCTGAGGAACTGAAATATAAAAAAAAATATTTTAAAAATCACAAAATCCAAACACTAGACAAGATAAGATTGATTTTTATTACCTAAAAACTGGCACACTCTTGGTTTGGGGATTACCACACATGCGTACGCACGCACACATACACAAAAACACGCGCGCACAGACATTGGCTGCATACACACATATTGTCTCACACACTTTCTGTTCCAGACATAAATATGAGGTGTGCCGACGAAATGTGTCATTTTTCTGATTTTAGCTCTACGGATACAGACACATCAAATTATATAGGAAGAGTTTGTACTATTTACCAGTATAAATGAAATTATAAAAGACATGTTAAATTTGAAGAAATTGGCAAGTAGAAAATCAGTAAGTAAAGAGCAACACGTCGATACAATAACGTGAACAATAATAATAGTAATAATAGCATTTATATAGCGTTCTATCCCATATAAGTATAAGCTCTGAGTGCTTTACACCAATCACAAGATCATTTTCATGAGAGAAAATATTTTACAGAAACGGGAAAAACCAGTTCAACCACATAAAGAAAAACTTTCACAACTAAACATTCATTATATATACACGAAAGGACAGCAGTAAAAAACAAAACATATTAGCACTTTCTAACTCACTATAACTAAGAATTGGTCACTTTTAAGCACAAGGGGGCTATCTAAAAAAAATGCTGTTTTGAGAAAATTGAAGGTAAAGTTTTGGCCCCTCATTCAGTTTCTTTAAAAAAACAAGGAGAGTTTTCTCTATAACCAAACAAATATACACACCAATGAAACCAAACTTCTCCTATAGGTAGGGCAATGTCCACTTTTAGTATAGGTCAAGATTTCTGGAAACCCCCCAAATCTGGGTTAGCCTGCTTGTCCTTAAAAGCGACCAATGAGTCTTGAGCAATCACATAAACGTATCAAAATTTGCTATTTCTCTGAGATCCTGACACAAGGAGTTCCAGATTTTAGAGCCAAAAAATGAGAAACTTTTCTCACCAAAAGATCGCTATTTCATTCTAATGGCTCTGAATTTTGTTGCACCTGTGGATGACCGTAACTGACGAAATGGAACATACACTGTTGATTTGTTGAAAGCTGAGATAGATATGATGAGGTTTTATCATTAAGACTTTTATTACAGATGGCAGAAACACCAATATAGTGAAGGGAAGAAGCAAAACAGATAGAAACAACAGAGGGAAAGAAAAGAAGGACCTACCAGTGGAGCCCACCAACCACCCACCGCGGAGCGGAATTTGTTCTCAGCAACTGTGTGTGTATTTCTTACACATCTCAAAGCTTTGACCATCTGTTTCAGATTTCTGCTAAGTTTCTTTATCAAAAGGTCACAGTTCAAGCCACTCTCACCTTCCAGACAGGTTTCACAGACCAACATCTCTACTAAACAGCTTCAGTGGCTAAGTGAACAGTGAGTTCAGACTCATCAAAGATATGTCAAGCAAATGGTGACCTTGAGCAAAACAAAACAACCCTAGCTCGAAATACAGGGCACTGCACGGTGGCGACCAGCAATGGCATGTTTGTGAAATTGTTAGGTAGGCAGGTAGGTACGTTTGCCATTGTAACCCAAATGTCCCCATGGGGATCAATAAACTGTAATTTGTGGCACGACGTGGTGGAATCAGGCGCTCCTCAGTTTTGGGGCATATGGGGTTATTGGTATCAACTTAAAGCTTATTCATTTGCCTTGGTTTAAATGAAAAAAAAAAATGTATCCATCTTGAATAAAAAGTCACGATATTTGCAGTTGATGAAGGAGGGGAAGTCGCCTGGTTTCAGTGGTGAAATTAGCAAGAAAATGGCCGTCAAAGTTTGGTAACTCCAATAGCTAAAGAGTCCTTGATAACTGAGATAAGGCATATTTTGTGCAATTAATCAACTTTTTCGGTAAAATTCACATGGAAATGTGATCTTATATGGACATAATAGGGGTTGAGCCAAAAAGCAAAAATTCTATAAAAATTGCCCAACAGGCGGAAAAATGCCTGTTCCTCCAATTTCGTGGCTGATTTCACTACGATACCTCACATTTGTTATTATTACTTATTAAAGTAGAATAAAAGTGGTGAGACAACTACAGATCCTGAATCAGAATTTGCGGTGTAGCAGTTACGCACTTCATCCTCACACACAGAATGCCCAAGTTCAAATCCCTACATGAAGAGAATAGAATATCTCTGTCTTTCTACAGAGATGTTGAATCCCTCTCAGCCTAGGTTGGCCCTGACAGGCAAGGTTAAAGCATATATATCTCCTCCATGATCTATGCTCTAAATTGAGTTTATGAGGGCTAAAAAAAACTCTATGGAAAAACCCCCCATCAAATTTTATTTTTTATTTTTAAAATTGATTCTGTATTAAATAATTCTTATATAAAGTGCCCATCTATGAGAAGACAGTTGAGAAAATTCCATGAGAAACTTTACTGTCAACAGGCTAGTTCAATTCAAACGAGGCTGGAGTCAAAAGTTCACGTTTTAAATGATTTTTTTCAGTAAATAAAAAGGTATTTTCCAACTAAAGTAACATTTCAGCCTCTTAACACTTTGAGTACTGTCTGCACCTTTAGTATAGTCATCAGGCCGTAGTATGAGCTCATTACCGCTGGCGACTTATGTCGCCGACTCGACTTAACACACTAAACATGACAAAACAACGAACAGAGCCACTGCACTGACCTAATAATAATAATAGACATAATAGACAACATTTGTATAGCGCAAATCCCCGCTCAACAGCAAGCTCTATGCGCTTCACAATCTATACTATTACTCCAGCAGACCAGAGAGCATCCTGGGAAGCATACAGTGCAAGCAGCCATTTATAGGCGCTAAAACACTAATATACTGACAAGATCTTTCGCTGTCTATTGCCGGGTACCCATTTCCACCCTGGTGAAGTGAGGAAAATTCGCGTAAAGTGCCTTTCCCAAGGACACAACGTCGGGCCCGCGGCTCGAACCCCCGACCCCCCAACCTCAAGATTACGAGTCCGGTAGCCTAACCATTAGGCCACCGACGCCAAAGGAAGTCGCTCTGTATGATAGCTGAATGGTTGAAGAACCTCTGTGAATTTTGAAAGCGTGTTACTTGGGCTGTGAAGGTTTTTTAAATTTTAACAAAATTCTACCATGGCTTCAGCGTTCTAAACTGGTGCGGTACTTGAAGGTTTTTCACTATATGAGCCTTCCATACTATAGGTGTTAAAGGTGGCTAAAGTGGGTGCTAGCTAAAAATAAAATTAAAAAAAAAAACAAACCCCCCCCCCCCCCTAAAAAACATCTTTATATTGATCTTCGTAGGAAAATTTGGGTTACAATGGCAAAAGTACATAAGCCTTTGCCAATAGGTGGAGGTTCCTTCTTATACCTTACAAAATCCTTTCCTATTCCAATAAAAATGGTGCTACAGTTATGAAAATTGTACATGTTTAGCTTAATATGATGTTCCACCTATGGGAGCAGAGAAATAGCAGTCGGGCTATCAGAAGAAATCTTACAATTATTTTTAGTTCTGAAATCGACATATTTTTAGAATGCAAAACGTGACGCGTCGAGTTCGTACTTTTTCTGTCGTCAAGTTCAACAATGAAATGAGGTTTGGAAAATAAACTTGATTCATTATTCTTCAAAGTCATCCCAGGGTTCACATTCCAGTCTTTCCACACTTTCCATGACAGACAATTTGTGTTTACTAGTGTGTTAAAGAAGGATGGGGGTAATCTCACGGCAGGGGTTAACTCAAGGCATGACAGCGGCAAATATTAGCGACCAGAATGTGGGCGGAGCTTCTGTGCTGAAGCAAGCCGATGTTGCCGGAAACTGAGCGCAGCTGATAAGTAGGTCGACTAGTCGACTTCTGACACAGAAGGTGACTGTCGTGCATGTGTGTGGGTGTGTTGCACGTGGTGTGTTGTCAAATCATTGAACATTGGCTCGGCTTTGGGATAGAGAAGGGGGGAAATGATGCTTGCCAGACGCACACCTACTACGTTTTAAAACGTATGCAAACCCCCGAAATGAAATTATAAAGAGTAAAGCTCACGAACAACCAAAACTTAAAGGGGGTAATCTGCAGGTTTAATGCGTAATATACGCACATTTGTGCGTAAAGGGGAGCCCTGAAGATGTTGGGCCAAAAAAAAGAAAATAAGAAAAAAATTGCCCATTGGCCAAAAAAAAAAAAGCTGACTTCTTAGATTTCATTACGTTCCGACGAGCGCCTGATTTCACTACGATGCCTCACATATAATACTTTTCCAAACTCACCCAGTCTGACATTCTGAATGAGGTAGTAAGCGATGTAGTAGGGCAAGACGGCAATCAGCACAAACAGGATAGCGTACAGACCAAGCTTCCAGTGGAAAAACCTGGAGCTGGAAAAAGAAAAAGAAAATAATAACAGCGCATCCATCAATATCTGACGGTAACCAATACATCCACATGTGAAAGATAACAGAGGCACCAAATTCAGTTGACTTTTATGTACACGGCTGCTTAATCTTCATGGAAAAAAGAACTATCCCTTGCCCGACAGGCAGCCACAAGCCATTTTTTTTTCTATGCCACTCTTAATATTTTTATCGACTAGAGTGACTTCAGTTCTGGGTTGAAGTTAACCTTTCATTTAGCCTGGATGGCAGCCTGAAGGGCCAAACAACTCTTATTTCCGATTTAGAACTACAAAGGGATCTTTTGTCATACAAAAACTCAACGCGGGATCTCCAAAATTTTTCATCGTCATCTGGGATGACTAGGTGCTCAATTTTATATACCCTAGAGGGTGAAGAACCCCCCCCCCCCCCCCCCCGTTGGCAAAGATTAAATTCTTGACCTCCTGAATAACAGGTGCACACTTATCCTGCTACTGAAACCCCCCCATCAAAAACCTCATCCTGGACACGGTACTATCTTGATACCTTGACTCCATGACACCCAGGATTTCAAAAATGATCAGCTCAAACATGATGCAGGAGAGGGCAAAGGTCACCGAGAAGACCAGCGACACCACAGAATGGTGAACCTGCAAAGAAAAGAACAATATAAAGCATTATTTTTTCTGAGAAGATTATAGATTTATAATATCCGGTTAAGTCTACAATCCTGCCATCATTTTAAAAAATACAGTATAAGCTGCAAGCAGCTTTTGCAAATTTACAGGTGCGCCGAAAAACTGAATATGTGTCACAACGCGGTGGAATCAGGTGCTCGTCATTTTTTTGTCATGTTGAGTTATGGGTATCATCTGAAATTCTGCTTTCAATGAAATAAATATCCATCTATCATGAATAGAACTCAAGATATTTATGATTGGAGGAAATGAGGTCCCCTGGTTTCAGTGGTGAAATTAGCAAGAAAATGGCCGCCAAAGTTTGGTAACTCCAATAGCTAAAGAGTCCTTGAAAACATAAAAATGACATATTTTGTGCCTGTCAATGTTTTCAGTAAAATTCACAAGAAAATATGCCTTTATGTGAACATAAAAGAGATTAAACCATGTGAACATAAAAGAGGTTGAACCCAAAAATAAAAATTCGATAAAAATTTCCAAACTTTCGGAAAAAAGTCTGTTTCTCCGATTTCTGTACTTTGACGAGCGCCTGATTTCACCACACTGCCTCACATATTTTTTACGAAATTAAACAATATTTGCTTTTAAAATAATTACAAGGAAGTTATCAAAATTGTATTTTAAAAATATTGACTTATGATGTCTGTAAAGAATTTTCTTGATAACAATATTCAGTTTTTTGTCTCTCCTGCAAAAATTGTAACAACTGTATACATACTGTATTTTTTAAAAGATGACAAAACTAACCCACTGTCTCCCAGAGGCTGGTGGCACCTCCCAGTGAGCCATCCTGTTTGGCAAAGTGGTTGGTGTCACTAGCCAATGAGAATGCGATTTAAATATACACCGAAAACAAATCACACATTTTGATTTCCCTCAAAAAGTGAGTCAATGATTAGACTGAAGAAGAGCTTAGCACTTATATTATTCCTATGTGCTATACTAGAGAAATAGAAGACAGAAAATAAAAACCCAGCACCCCACAAGCAGCTCTTCGCTGAGGCTGAGAAAAAGAGAGGCAATATAATTCTTCGGCGCCATTTCACAACCGCCTCCAAGCTTATTTCTGTAAGTTTTCAGATAAAGCCATGTTCAAATGTTAAAGACATCAATGGCATACGACAATAACAATAGTTTCGTTTTATTTCAGTAATTTCCTTCCGAATTTGAACGGAATAATAACCAGCGCCCAAGTCCTGGTTCTGATGTTAGTGCCCACTTTTAGTAACTTTTACGTTAGTTTTCTCAAAACTTCCCAAAAGAACAGATCAGATGGCTGAATGTGGAATGATGCTGACAATGTAGAACAAACCTAAGCAGAAGTTTTAATACGTTTGGCTTGACCTGAACGACTCACCTCATAATCCTTGTACAGTTGCTTCAGGAAGAACACCCAGCCTCCAAATAAGAACAATATCTGAAAACAACAAAGTCAAGGCCACGTTTCAAAACGTGCGGTAAAGACAATCGAAGTAATCGGTGAAAAAAGATATGCCATTCCCTTGAATACAGGAAAGATTGAGTAGATCAACCAAAAATAGGAAAACAAATTCTTGTAAGGGAGACAAGACTGGCATTTGCTACTCGTACAAAAGGAAGGTTATGTTGGTCATCTCACATCCTGACTCACTATACTTTTATATCCCAGTGATTGGTTATGAGGTAGGAGAAGGGAAATACAGTCAAACCTGTGTAAGACGGCCACCCATTGTCAAGGAGAAAAGTGGCTGCATAAGACAGGTGGCCGTCTTAGGCAGGTCTGATCAAGATAAAGAAAACAAACCATTCCCATCTGAGGCCCCAATCGAAAGTAGCCCCATTGTTGTTGTCTTTGTTGTTGGTGTTGTTGCTGTTGGTTTGTATTTCGTTTGTAATTCTTATTTTGTCGCTGATTTTGCACAATGGTGACAATAAAACAAAATGTATCAGACAAGGAAGACCGAGTGCCATGTTAAAACAAACACATGGGTTGCCACCACTCGGAGAACGAGGGACGCTTCTGTAACAAGTTCATGTTGATGTCCTTTGTTACTTTGTTACAGACTGGGTAAACAGTAACCACTCATCTCACTTACGATTTGTGTGTATGAGTTCTGGGCGGGGCTTATATGGGTTATGAGGGATCACATGCTAACTCACCGGCAGCTGAAAATTGGTAGCTATTGGTCAACAGTGGGAGGGGCCTACACAACATGATCGGTTGGAGGGACTACCTAACAACAACGACAGGTGATTGAATTATGACGGCTCGCCCACAACGCCAGGGACCAATGCACAATTTATGACAAAACGTAATGGATTCACTAAGGTGACCGTCTTAGACAGGATGGATCCTGAAGAGGGGGAGAGAGCAGAGATGGACATGTTCCGACTGCTGTGACCCCAACACAGTGGACAAGTAAGTATTTATGAGGTAGGCCGTTTCAACCCTGCTTGTCAAAGCCAAACCAAGCTGAACAGGGGTGGCAAGACTGGTGAATCCGGACACATTTGTGTCACGACATGGTGGAATCAGGCGCTCATCAATTTTTGGGCATGAGTTTATGGTATCATTTTAAAGGTTGTGATGCGTTGTTTTTATTAATAATGCGAAAAAAAACCCACAATGCTTTACACGAGTTTGGCCTAAATAAGGTTTGGAGGGGGTTCACGTTATTTTTTTTAGTTAATTACAGGCCATGTCATACATGTTGCCTTTTCTTTATATTATTTTTTTTTTAAAAAGACTTCCCCCATCAACCTAACTTTTCTCCCAGTCTATAAGTGGCATTCACTGGATCTATTGACACCAAATACGATTGGATTTCCATTCTCTTTCTCCCTGAATATATCTATAAAGAGAACAGTACCTCAGAAAGACGAGCTTTTAGGAAAGACTCATAGATATTATAGATCTAATAGTCTTGTCAGATTGTTACCGGTTACATTTCTAACATGAAAGTTTGATTCTGACTGCAACGATCAGACCAAATTGACATTATTATAATCCATGTCATGTATGACGATGGGACTGGCCATAATGTGTACAATAATGACTGTATTGCACCGGGTCAGCTTGTGAACCAACGCAGAGAGAAAACGACAGGAATCAGTAATTCTATTAACAAAAACACCCCTCCCCCCTTTCTCTCTCTCTCTCTCTCGTTCTCGCTCTCTTTCTTTCTTTCTCCCCCCCCCCCCCCCCACCCACCCTCTCTCTTTCTCTCTCTGCCCGCAGACAAAATTTCTCGCTTTCAACTTAGCGCTGGAATGTTTGTTTACACTTGTATCACGGGCCGTAACGCGCTAAGACGAGGTAGATCTAGCGCCCAAGTCTCGTTCGGACGGGAGAAAGGGCAATTGAAACATCTTGGTAGTAGTTGGACAATCTTTAATATTATAATAACATCACGACGCTGCATTTCTATTGTTAGTAACTTTGTCACCGACATTCCGATGAATGATAATAATTAAATAATAAAGGGTGATACATCTGGGGGATCTTGTCAACTTGCGAGGGAAACCTCGGAAGACGACAAAAATAGACGGCGGAAAAACACCCATCTATGATCTATTTTGGGTCAATCACAGAGGTGTGCTGGGTGCTCTCAATAGCTTCATGTTGCTTGGAAGGCCACAAGGCCGTGTTTACGCTACCTAACACGGGGTGCCCATCACGGATGGGATCGGACGATTGCCCGACTCAAGTTCTGATGGCTGAATAGACAGTGCGTCGTGCAATGATTTTTGGAGCGGTTCGATCCCCGTCGCGGACAGTTTTTTTTTTCTCTCTTCTCCTCCTCCCGACTGACCAACAGTCCCATAAATTATAGGCCTAATTTGCAGAGTTGGTTGGAAGTTGTTGTTTAAAAAAAAAAATATATTAGCAATTAAAAATGCAAGGGTAGATCTAGATATAATCCTGCTTCTTTACGGCAATTTTCGTGCGGTCTTCCATCGTGTCCAAGTAGGCCTACTATCTAGATCTAGATCTAGAGTCTAGATTTCTAGATCTAGATATCTTATCTAGATCTAGATCTAGGATATTTCCGAAATGTTACAGAAAACACGTCGTTCCATGTGGGTATCCCAGGGAGTGATGACATCACAGTACTAAAATTAGCAGCCAATCAGAAAGATCTCATGCGTCTTTTCTACGTTTAACGGCATGTGTATAGTATAGACAGTAGGGGAGGACTTCCGTAACGAGCGACCACTAGATCCATGAGACAACAGAATTGAGGGCTTGGGGTAGGGGTAGGGGTAAGGTAAGGGTAGGGGTAGGGTTAGGGGTCTAAGACTAAGGGGTAGGGGTAGGGGTAGGGTTAGTGCCGGGTTAGGGTTAGGTCTAGATCTAGGCCTCTTCTTTATTGTGTTTGATGGGGTGGTCGCTTGTTACGGAAGTCCTTCTGACAGTAGTATGAAAATCAAAATGAAAAGACTTGGTCTTGATTTAAAACTTACCAATGAAACCACCATTAAAAGCGAATCAACTAAAAATGACATGGCTCATGGACTTTTTAATCAGGTAGATCTAGATTATATAATCAGGATAGCGAAGAGTTTAAAACGCAGGAGGCAAAGATGTTATAGATCTAGAGAGATCTAGATCTAGATCGTTAAGCCAGAGCAAAATCCGAAATCAAAAGCCTTGAAAATGTGTAGGCCTAGCCGCTCGTTCAGTTGACAGTTGACGTGGTTTTTTCGATTATTTCCAGCATTTCCAGCCTAATTTCCATCCGATAAAATGGAGTGTTTATAACTTATTTCGTTTCGGTAGAGATATGCTTAATAAAAAGTCAGATCGTTCATATGACAATATAGAGACAGGAAACGAGGCCTCGCGGTCCGTGACAACAGTGCATTTGCGAACGTGACCGCTGAGACGCGAGCTAAAAATAACCAGGCGCGGTATCGACAGCGAAGCGCGTCTCGTCTAGCGGGGCCTAGGCCTAGCTTTCTGCGGCTTAGGCCTAGCGCAATCAGAGAACTGGCCAAGGTTGCATTTGTAAACAATGCCTCTACAATTCTATACTCTTCTGGTCTACAGAAAAGGTTACACATGTTGATGAAAACAGGACAACAGATTTTAAAATTGAATTCTAGATCTAGGCCAAGTTATAAAATAGGCCTAATGTCGATCTGGCATAAAACCAAAACATGTCTTGATAATGTAGACCGAAAACGAGATCTAGAATCTACATCTAGAATCTACATCTAGATTATCTAGATCTAGATTCAAGATCTAGAAATCTAATTATCTAGTCGACAGTGTCAGTAGTTACATAAGAAAAAAAGTCATCTGGACTCTAGATCTAGATTCTAGATCTATAGGTTTCCAGCATAATAAAAATATGCCTGCCTTAGCCTAAATACACGCGTTGATCTAGATATCTAGCCTACAACATAAGCAGTTTAATTTAAGATAGCCTAATAAAGGTTAATACATTTTTACTTATTTTACTAATTAGTTACATAGCCCTGCACGGGGTCTGTGGGTAGGGAAGAGTTGGAGAGGAAAGAAAGAGAGCATGCAATAGCATATAGATCTATGCCTATAGGCAGTGATGAGAAAAGGCAACAGACTAGAAATAGAAAACAGATTTAGTTTTGTGTAGCCTACGCTAGGCATATATGGATAAAAACAGGAATACAAAGTGACAGATCGAACTCACTAGAGGCCTATATATATATATATATATATATATATATATATATATATATATATATATATATATGTGTGTGTGTGTGTGTGTGTGTGTGTGTGTGTGTGTGTGTGTGTGTGTGTGTGTGTGTGTGTGTGTGTGTGTGTGTGTGTGTGTGTGTGTGTGTGTGTGTATACATAAACATGTATAATGCATCTTTCGTGGATTAATAGCACTTTACTGAAACTGGCTCTTACAATTAAGTGGGTGGATGTGACAGTCTTTCTTAGACTGTTTTGCTGTATGCATTGTCTCTTGCTGATTCTTTTGTATATTATGTCCATACTTCTCTGTCAGGCACATAAATTTGGGACATTACAAAATTCAAGGGTGGTCCTGACAGGGTCAAACTAGCACTTTCTTACTTAATAATAATTAAGTAAGCTTTGTAATTTCTTTGTCTCTTTAATTTTGTTACATTATTCCGTAGTACATTTATTACAGCAGGGCATTGTCTTCTTAGATGTCAAGTTTTTTTTTCCCTTCCACTTTTAATTTCTTCTTCAAAACTCTCACACCACATTGCAGACACTATTAGAGCTTGAATTTTAAAAAAAAATTAAATACTAAATATGTTTCACTACTCTATCTAGTCAGTTCTGCAGAGGTGGAGTCAAAGCGCCACATAGCCTACAGAATCAGATGCAGTCTCAGGTCTACAGTGTGAGTGAGCGTGTGTGTGTGTGTGTGTGTGTGTGTGTGTGTGTGTGTGTGTGTGTGTGTGTGTGTGTGTGTGTGTGTGTGTGTTGGGGTCCCCCCCCCCCCAAATCAATATGAAGGCGATGATAATGTAATTTTTAACTTTAAAAAAATGGAACTATCAGTCTCAAACTGATGAAGAAATAATGGGGAACTCAGTGCTGGGTTATCCCCCAAAAATTCTTTCAGATCACTTGAAACACTTTTTGTTGTTGCGTGTTTTCATTTCTTTTTTTAGGAGGGGGGGGGGGGGGGGCTTTACTGCGCCTGTGACAGCATAGGTCTCATATGAACAGGCAGGGCACATTAAACTTTTTCAGTTTGGTAAGAATTTTTAATTTTGCCCAGGTGGGGGCCAAAGCTTAGCCTACTCTTTTGATTTTAAGAACACCAAGGGATCCTTAACTTGAGCAACTTACGGGACCTCCGAGATTTTTCGCCCTTATCCAAGAAGGCTATGTGTTAGATCAGGTGACTGAAAGACAGCAGTCAGATAGAAGGGGCCAATGAGTGGCAGTAGTACAAATGTAGTAGTAGTAGTAAAGGCTGCAGAAAGAGCCAGGAGCCCCAGATGCGCCAGAGGAGGAGTCAAAAGGCGTGTGTGAGTGGGGGAGGGGGGCAGAAAGTGAGGAGGAAAAACAGACGACAGAACTTAGAGCTGGGCGGTGAAAAGAGAAAACTTTAGAGAAGAAAAATGTCTGTCCCAGTCATGTTTCAAACCTATTGAATGAGAGGCAAACACTACCCAGGCTCTAAACACTGTAGACCACGATCAGAGCCCCCAGAAAAACGTGTTTTATTCGCTAGCTATAGATCTAGTAAGGTTTAACAATGTTTCGTCCTCCTGCCCATGCACTGGCATGACGTGACGAACTAGGCTAATCGACTGCACTGTCGCCTGTGCTGTGAAGAAGTAGAGGAAGGAGTGTAGTGGAGGCAAACATTATACATGTAATAGGTCTATGCTATGATAATAAGGCCCAGGGGTAGATATAGATCTATCTAGATCTAGATCTGGTCCTAGTAGACCCACTGCATTAATTAGGCCCTTACTTCTAGACCTAGACTCTAGATCTAGATCTAGATCTAGATTTAGTACTAATTGACCTGGACACTGATACTAGATCTACAATCTATTATCTAATTTAGATCTAGAGATCTAGATCTAGATCTAGATATCTATATCTCTAGGATTCTAGGTCTAGAGTCTAGGTATTCTAGATCTAGTCTAGATCTAGATTCTAGATCTAGACTCTAGATCTAGATGTAGATGTAGATCTAGATTCTAGATCTCTAATCTAGATCTAGTTAGGCCTACACAAGAGAAAAACGATATCAAGTAAGGTTAATGAAAAAGTACAAGTGCAAATTCTTACATTTCAGGGTCCTTTGGAAAGCTAAATAATGCTAGGTCTGGTATTTATGCGATCTGGAATTGGCACGGACGCAGACTGCCGCAAAACACCACTTACACTTGCAGGTGACTTGCGACTGCCGACAGCCGCCATTAGCTTTGTTTACCGCGCCTCGTTTCACAATCAGCTGGTGACCTGGATACGCGAAAAGAGGCCTCGTTTCCTGTCTCTATATTTTAGTGTCTCTGATATGACCAGAGAGTTTGATCAATGTTATGTACTATCATTGGTTTGATCAAAGATAGTAAATAGTCTAGTTATGTACTATCATTGGTTTGATAAAACATTGATACCAACTACTTGAATCATATCGATATTTCAGTTGCCTCCACTACACAAAAGTCGGGACCACCATATCCAAGTAGGCCTACATGTAGTGCCAACAAGGAGCTTAGAACTAACCTTGAGTGCCAAGCAGACAAGGCAAGGCAATATAAACGATAAACGAGAATCATGAGTAAAGAAAAATCTAACATACACAAACATGCAGTTTATGAAAGGTACCAACAACAATAACTCAATAACTCATGGTTTCTCAATTGTCACATACAGAAAACAAGGAGAGAAGATAATGATAATGCACGGACATTTTACATATTTGTTTGTACAAAAGAACGACTGTCCCATGTATCAACGTTATACTTTTATAGTCGGTTTTGGTTTTTTAATTTCCTTTGCTCAGGTCTATTTATAGGCTAACTTAGAATTTCCTGTGAGCTTTTCAGTTTCAGTTTCCAGGAACTTAGGCCTAGAACTAGATCAAGGAACTCCCAAGGGAGGCGGCAGAAGACATCAAATCTGCTTGAAAAGTTTTGTGCAAAATTTCTTTGATTGTAAAGTAATAGGCCACAAATAAAGCGTAAACTATATTTTGAATGAAGTATTTTTTCGATAGTACCATAATATACAGTTCCTTGATCAGTGTTCCTTTGATTTAAAACAAAAATGCTCAAGACTTGGCTTAGCTTAGCCAATAATAAATTACATTTACATACATTTTGCGTCAACCTTCCAGTTTCTTTGTCATTGTCATCAGTTCAGGTCAGGAAAAATGTAGTTATATAAATTATTAAATCATGGTTATGGGACGAGAGCTCACGGTGACGGTGTCAACGCTCAACACAAAATCGTTATCTGGTAAGTCAAGCTTTTGTTGATCATATAGTCCTCTCTGTAGATCTTGAAATGTCGGTAGCCTACAACTTAAGACTTAAGTTAAGAATCTGGGTCCCGTTTGGGGAAATAGTAGATTCTAGTTTTGACCCCACAGACGATTACTTCTGGTTCCAAAATATTACTTTTTGATGCGTGTGCCGATATGGTGAGATAGCCTTTCTAACCTAATTGCAAAACATCAAATTATGGTCAAGTTCAGGGGTGCATGCCCCCCTGAACCCCCCC